AGCGATGCTAAATTATCTTTCTGTGAAAAAACAGTTCTACTGAAAAACAAGCAAAACATCTCATTCAATGCTAATAACTCTCGTGGCGAAAACATTGCTTTAAATGGAGTGCCTGCTAATTTTGTCTTGTATCATTCATGCAACGGCTCCATGCCTATGTAAAATGGGGAAAACATTTCATTCATATAATGCTACATTTCCATTAGAGTTGTGTGGATCATGAGACACAGCAGAACAGCTATCTGACATATATGAAGCACATAGATGTGAACAATATTGACTGAGGAAGAAAATGGAATGGTGTGGCAAGAATTAAGTGTATACTCACAGAACTGAATTGTGTTATACTAAAATAACTATCTGCCACTAAATTATGCAGGCCTAGCCCCGCCATGTTTCTCCTGTCTGAGCAGTGAGGGGCTGTACTAGATTTCTGGAGTGCTGTCCAACTCATCTCTATGGTTCTGTATTCCCAGTAAGATAGCATGGCATACTCTTCTGATTTTCGCTCAGGCTTGTGTTGATTAGGCCAGCATTCCCAGACACAGTGCTAAAACTTAGCTGGGCTGTACTTCCTTCCCCCTCGGATTAGAGGACAATGACTGACAAAGACCTAACCAGACCCAGGACAGATGCACACTGGTATCTGTCATACCACTCACTTGAAATTCAAGACGTTCTGCAGGAGGCTGTGGTAGGAGTGGTGAGTGGCCTCAACTGCTGTCCCCTTTCCTTGGGTAGTTTCTCCCCAACACCTAGCCTTCTGCGAAGGACATCTGTCCATCACCAAAGTCCACTGGCACCAAGAAGGATTCAGGAAGCAGCTCCTGAGGCTCAGAAATAGACACCTTTCCCTGCTGCCTGCTGGGAAGCAGGCTGGCCACACCTGGGGGAGGCAGGGCATCAAAAGGAAAAACTGCAGTGCAGTTCATCTGAACAAATCAGGAAAAAAGGAACGTCACTAGGTTATTATTAAGAGAACAATCTGTAACTAGGTTACAGTCCTGACAAGACAGCAGATAATAAAAATGCACAAAATAAAAAATGGAAATATAATTCTCTTGTGTCTAGTGTGGAGTTAAGAGTACCACTTACCCTTTTACTGAAGGTTTTACTCCTGAATTTTAGAGAAATACTACAAATGATGTCTCAAAACATCAGATTATTTAAATAAAGATCTGAACTGAGGTGGTTATCTTCTGGCAAGTTCAACTCTACATTGTTTTAAAGGCAGAGGGACTGTTCTTAGATCTTATAGAATACTGGTGCCCTCTGGTGGAAGATAAAGGTTACATTTGCTGGTCAAAAGTCAGATATTTGTTTGGTCATTTGTGTTTGAAGCTGCAGTTCCCCAGCTCTGATACACAGATTAAGATAAGAAATATCAGGTGCTAAGTATTTGTATCACCACTTCATTTGCCCAGTGTACCTGTTTTACAGATCTGTAAGCTGAGGCTTAAAACATCAAATGAATCACCTCAGGTCACCCAGCAAGCACAGGTATATTCTCATGACACCCTTCTCTGCCTCCCACCCCTACCTTCACCCCCACTAAAAGAAAAAAAAAAAGTACACATATCCATCAAACAGGTCTTCTACCCAGGAACTTTGAAGTCTTTTTTTTTTTCATGCACCAACTACCCAGCTTAAAGACTTTATTGTAACAAATGTATGGTTACTTCTCATTGGTGATTCTGTCAGCAGTTAGTGATGAAGAGGGAATAGCCCCAGACTTAGAAGAAGCAAAACCTTACCCAGATCCAACATGGCATGCAATGCTTGGTCTTGCCTCATGACTTTGCAAGGTAAGGGGGATCGGAACATGGTCTTTAAAGCATGTTAACTTAAATATTTTTATACTCCAATGTCCTAACCATCAAATGTGTGCTGCTTCTCTCCTGATTTTCCATGGGGCAGAAATAATCTGGAATATCTGCTTAGTTAAAATCTAAGTTGCACAGAACAAAACAAAAACCCATTCTCACCACCACTGACTGTTCCTAGCCATTTCCATCTTCCTCTCCCTCCATCAAAGCCTTAGACGTCAGCAGTGGCTCTCAGGACAGACTTCCAAGGCCAGCATCAGCAGCAACACCGAGGAACATGGTGAAAATGCAGGCAGATGGACCTCACCCACTCTGCTTGACTGCAATCTCTGGTAAAGTTTAAGTCTGAAATTAACGCCTGCCAAGTGGTGCCGGCACTTGCTAAAGCTTGACCGTCACTGTGCTGTAACAGGGCTCTTAACCTGGGGCCTCCTGATTTCTTGGGAGTTTGAGGCTCTTGAGTGTATAAATTTTGCATATGTGCATGTCCCTTTTCTCTCCTAAGCTCCTTTCCAATCAGCTGCTACAATATGCAGTCAGCATCCAAAACACTTTCCCCTATCTCCCACCACCACTACCACAAACTCACTCATTTGCACTCAGCCCCATTCTGACAAAGGGAGCCACCAACCCACTTGCTGAAGTCTGTTGTACTTTCACCTTGTTTTCTTCCATTATCAATCCATCCTTTTGGCTTTTTGATTCCCAACATCCTTGGCTTAACCACTGACTTGATTCCACAAATTTTACTCTGCACCGGTATTTAATGTCTCTATGTCTTAAATACCTCATGGTGACAAAGAATGTTCTTACTGTCCTCGGGGGTCCAACCACTACCTAGGAGTGTCACCACTTCTCAAGCAGACTGCTGCATGGTGTAACTGCTCTCCTTGCTTCTGCTCTAGCATGCATGCTGCCTACTCAGCAGTGTGGCCAGAATGAGCTTTCCTAAATACAAACGAGACAATGTCACTCTCCCTCAGCAGACCTTCCAGGGCTCCGCACACTTCAGGACAGGATTCAAACTTACTCAGCTAGCAAGTCGTGCTCTGACTGCCCATGCTGCCCCCAACTCTGCACTGCTCTGTCCTACCTCTCACCTCTCTACACACGTGGTTCCCTGCAGCTCTGTGGCGTCGGTTCCCAAACCAGGCGTTCTCTTTCATATGCTGCTGTCCCGGCCCATGCGGAAACTGCCCTCCGTACCCACTGCATTCTTCAGACTGAAGGCAGCCTCCTTACCATGCTGTATTCTCAGTACTAAGCAGTTTTTTAACTTACCACTCAGTGAATGAATTTATCAGTGATTTTGAAGATGATTAATCAAATGAGTTCAGAGTTGTAGATGTACTTACCAAGACTGCCGTCCTATCCTCAGAGCTGTGGTAACATGAAATTGTTCAAACAATACCTTTTTTTCATTCCTTTACAGGTTGGATCTTACAACTGTAGCTGGGGGGGAGGCAGAGGGCAATGATTTGGAATTTGTTGACAAACACAAATTTTGTAAATTTTCAAGTTTCAGCTTACCTTCCTCCAGCCTCAGGACACTCAACATGGGAAAATGTGTGCCAAGAACTCAAGGTAAGCAAGGATGTAAAAGACCAACAAAATATTACAAAGTTGGAATCACATTAAAAAGTACTTATGCAGGGCCCAGGGATTTAGCTCAGAGGCATAAATGCCTGCCTGGCAAGTGCAGGTTGTACAATCCCGGTACCAATTTAGAAAAAAAAAAGACTTGTGCAGTGTACACCTGTACTCCCAGCTCATAAGGCTGAGACAGGGCCATGAGTTCAAGGTCAGCCTGCACTACACAGACTGTCTCAAAAACAAAGTTCCTTAAAAGAGAAATGTGGGAAGGGTTACACAGAGAAAAGCAGCCACTCTTACTCTAATCCTACTTTTGGCTTTCATTTTTAAAATACCATCCTGATGTTACTGTGGCACCCTGCCCCACTCTAGGGTCTCCTCACTCATGTGGCAGTCTGTGATGCATACTCAAAAGTCATACAGCACACATCAGTACTCGCCCATTACACACCAGCCCCATCCTAATGCTACTCAGAACTGACCTGTTTCACTTTACTGGCTTTTGTCTAGAAATGAATGAACTGTCTTCGCAAAATCACATGTACTATCACACTCCCCGTAACGGTTCATTTTTTTTCTCCTAAAGAGCAGAACCTGAAGGCCAGGATCATGGTTGATGGACCAGTGGTTTGAAATTGAATGTAAATGTTACACAAGAAGAGGTTTCACTGGATCTGTAATCCTATCACTTGGGATGCTGAGACAGGAAGATCTTGGGAGTTCAAATCAACCTGGGCTAATGAGTCCAATGCTATCCTGTACTACACAGCATGACCCCGTCTCAAAAAAAAAAAAAAAAAAAATTCATGAATTTCATCAGGAGAGATATTATCCCTAAAGGTTTAAGAACCAGTGCTGGAGTGCTGACTTCTGTAACATATATACTAAGAACCAGTGTTACAGACCCTAGCAAACACTAGGTACACAGATACAACAAACTCAGTGTTAAAAAATAATCTGCAGCTGGGCGTGGCAGCACACAACAGCCACATAGTAAGTGCAAGGCCAGTGTTTGTCTAGCTGTCCCAAAGCCTCATGCAGTCACTGTGAGCTAAATAAACCTTTCCCCCTTTAACGTTGTATGTCAGGTATTTTGCTTCAGCAATGAGACAAAAAAAACTAAGATAAACTATTCAGTGAGATCTTGTCTCAAAACAAGAAACTCTGCAGCTGGGTGTGGTTGTACCAGTCTGTAATCTTAGCTTCTTGGGAGGCTGAGGCAGGATGATCACAAGTTTGATGCCAGCCTAAGCAACAAGCAAATGCAAGATCCTGTTTCAAAAAAATTGACAACAGTGCTGGGAATGTAGCCTAAATAGAATCTCCTCAGTACGTATGAGGCCTCTGTTCAGAAACAAAAAACTGCAAAATTTAAATGTTTCTTTTAGATTTAAGAACTTAAAAGTGAAATATAGCAATCACTCTAATAGGTAACTTGAGGGAAAGTTGCTACTGTTTCTAAGTCCAATAACTTCTCAGTGGCACCTCAGGCAGGCATAAATCAGATCAAAGACCCAGAAAAATGAGGCTTAGTTACACTTAAACAAAATGATGTATTTCCCCAATAATGACAACACAAAGTGAAAATAAAAATATTTAATTACAAATAAAATCAAAGGCATTAAAAGCATTACATAGTGCAAACACCAAAATGTATACAGCTACTGTCTTTAGTGGCATTCATAAAAACTATGCAAGAACACAAGAAATTGTCTTCATTTAGTTAAGTGGGCCACTAATTCAAGTTATTTTATATTGCCTTTTCTTTCCCATTTTAGGAAACCCCATCTGCTGCTCCTGTTGACTATGACTCTCATTAGAAATACGTGGAAAACTGGCTGTTCTCTGTGTACTTGGGCAGTGCACTTTATACCACCTACTCAAGTGTACATAGGAAGAATTGTTCCAACTTAAGACCACAGCAAGGCAGTTCTCTCAGGAGAAAAGCTGTCATCCAAACTTACACACTTCTCTCACAACACCTGGAGGCACAACTGTTTTCCAAGCAAAGGCTTTATATATGAAGCTGGCCATGGTGATGCACACCTGTAACCCCTGCACTCTGTGAGGCTGAAGCAGGAGGATCCCAGGTTCATGCGTAGCCTGAGCAATAAAGAAACTTAGTGAGATCCTGTCTCAAAAATAAATAAAAATGTTTTAAAAGGGTAGGGGTAGTTTAGTGGGGAGGACCATGGGCTCAATCCCCAGGAAAAAAGAAAAAAATGGAAGCCTTATATAAAGGGACAGAGCTAGAAGCACGGATAAGAGAGTCATAGTAAGCAACACTGGCCCTGCTAGGCAGGCATAAAGAAGCACTTGTGTTCAGTTTCCAGGACACAAGGGACTCTGAACATTAACCACAGAGCTCGCTTTACCAACAGTATAACAGGTTCTTGTATCTTCTTCAAGGCAATTACAGATTTTATAGTTGCTCATCTCCATCATAAGCTATGAGGTAGGAAAGGCAGATGTGGAAACTAATTTTCAAATAAGAAAAACTGACACAAGTCCACAGCTGGAGCACACAAGATTGCACACACCTGTAATCCCAGCATTTGGGAGGCTGAGGCAGAAGGATTACAAGTTAGGGGCCAACATGGACTCATACTGAGTTCGAGGGCAGTCTAGACAGCACAGGCATAGGCTATCTCAAAAACACCAAAACCCAAATGACAAAAAAATCCAGAAACAGGTAACTCTGAACTCAGAGGACCTAAGAGGAAAAGTAAAGGAGGAAGGATACGGACATCAAAGTACTTATTGCTTTTTAAATACATTAACACCTTTGGATAAGAAATTAAATGCTCTGATAAATGCTCATGTGGTGTAATGGCAACATCAATTTCCAATGAACCATTTGCCAAGTTACAGCAACTTTAAGAAATTGCTCTGAGTGTGCTACCTGTCACTTTTACAGTATCTCTAACCTCAATCTCCACTTAAGAAATGGGGTAGGAAAGGGCTCCTACCAGCTAAGCTGCACTCCCACATGTCATTAAATGAAGACCCTACATACAGAAGTAACAGCTTGCAGGTGGATTTCGACAGACTGCCAAGAAACACTAGCCATCTCCTACAGACTTGCTGGTTTTTCTGTATCATTTTCAGTCACTCAAAAGCCTGCCGATGAAGACTCAATAAACACAACTATAGGTTTACTACAACAGTTTCTGTAACAATACCATATTCATCAATAATGGCCTCCTTTAATTGCACATTCATTATATCAATCAACTCAAAATGTTTATGTAATCTTCTCCTACAGGATCAGATATACACTGACTCCTGAAAAGGAAGAACATAAGCACAGCCATTTTAGGTAACAAGGTGAACTGGGCCAACAGAAAGAGCATCTTAAAACAATCTGAAAAAAACCTGTCTTCAAACTAGAGAGCCATTTTACTCACTAACTCAGATACTCATTTCCAGTGGAACCTTAGAGCCCCCAACATTTCTCCTCCTTTGTTAAAACTGCAGCTCTGTCTACTCATAAATCTGAGAAACTCCAGCAAAGTAACCTCACCATTCCATATGGCAGTGCAAATTTCCTGACATTTGTAAACACTGTAGATTTTAATTTGGCACAGCAGAGAGCATGCAGGTTCCTGTATCTTTGAAATGCAGATTCTACACACAGGTAGCCCTAGTCTACAGCCATTTTTAGTAAAGGTGGCTTTGTCTTGATCCTGTGGGTGCACACAGATGCATACTCACAAATGAGGGGCCAGTAAAATGAACTCTTCCCTAGAATATCAGCCTCAACAATTTAAGCACATAATGGACTACATGGAAACAAAAGATTCACAGTGTCTAATGCTATATACTTTTAGAAGTTCACATAACTCTGCAGAAAAAAATAAAAATACCAAATAACTGCTTAGCGAGTTTCCTTTCTCAAATGAACAGAGGTAACATTACAATAGCTCTGTAGAACGCAAGAACATTCACCAATTTCTCACGAATGACTTTTCAAAGAAGCCAACGTTGCACAAATAAGCACACATTGAAAAATTACAGATTTCTCAGCCTTTAAAAAAATTCAAACCAAATAATATTCTACAAAGTATTACAGACATCTAAGTATAATAAATTAAAATAAAACACAATACCATTATTTCAGGCACTTGGCAGTGATTCAGTTTATATGACACAAGCTCGTGGCAGTCTGGAGGCTGGCCTGGGCAGCAGCCCACACACTGCTCTAGCCTGCGACTACAAACCTGAGCTGACCCTAGACAGACTCTGGGAAAATGATACCAGGTTAAAGGCTTCAGCAACAGGTTTTGAGTCTAATTCAAGTCCTAAATGCAAGAGCATAGAAGCATTGATAGGCATACTGTAAGGACAATGAGTTACTGTGAGGAAAGTCTTCCTGCTGTAATCTAAGAAACACTTTCTAATGATTTATCATCTCTGGCCGAGACCTTTTGTGCAAGATAACACAATCATAAACTCTAACTAAATGGGATCTGAAATAAGAATTGTAATGCTAGTGTAGTGTGATTTCATTATTCAGCCTATGGCATGACACAGCAGAAAGTGCTGAGCTCTTAACGACATCTATTTTAAAAGCTCTGTCCTCACAATTAGGATTTCAGCTAAAGTGTGGCCTGCCACTAACAAGGGATGCCACACAAAATGAAGACATCTGAAAATAAAAGGAGTCAGATGGTGACAAACTGAGTAGAATGCTGATAAACATAGAAAAACTGGCACTAACTGTGGAAAACCAGAGCATTATGTTCCCACAATTACAAATAAAAGATAATGTGAGTATATGCTACTGAAGTAAACTTCTTAAAGATTTCACATACAAACTGTAACTGGCTTTAGTAGCAGAGACTAAAAATATGTGTAACCCGGTGGCAATAAAAAAGCAAAACCAGGTGTGGTGGCACACCCTGTAAAGCCAGCATTCGGGATGCTGAGGAAGAAGATCACTGCAAGTTCAAGACCAGCCTGGTCTACATAGTGAGTCAAGGTTAGCATGAACTGCATAATGAGACACTTTTTCAAAAATCAAAAGGTAAAAAGAAAAGAAAGAAAAGACAAGAAAAAATTTTTTTAAAAATGAAAAAAGAACAAAACCATCTGGCTGTGGTAACATATGACTACAACGCCAGAGAGGCTAGGCAGGAGGACAAAAACAAATCCAGCCAGGACAGTTCATCATCTTAGCAAGGTGCTGTCTCAAAACTGCCCCTGCCTCTGTTTGCCAGGTAGGCAAAAATAGACTAAGAAGATGGTCTGAAGTTTCCTACAGGTAAACACAAGGTTTGACTCAAACATGTATTCCCAGCAGCATACAACAGAACTTACACCTGCATCTTCTAAGACAAGAACTTGGTAGTAAGAGGGATAGTGAAAACTAAGGTGAGCAAACAAGAAGAGGAGGAAAGATGAGTGGCCTACAGGGCTTCAGTGCTAGGTAGGGATGGACCAATATTACCATGACATACCTACAGAGGTAAATGTGTATTTCTTTAGGGTTAGGTTTAAAGAAATGTGTATTTCTTTAAAAAGTTGAGAGTTTGCATAAGGGGATTAGAGCCACAACTGCAGTCCCCTAATTCTCTGTTCTCCACTTTATCACAAAGGTGCCTGACTAGTAAAAATCAAACAGAACTGACAGCTATCCATTGTAAGAGTGCTGTGGGGAGAAGATAGGGAGAAAACTAATTTGACTTTCTAAAGCTTTAAACTATTCACTGTCTTCTCACAAACAGTTTAACTCAAAGTAATAGTTTTGCTTACAAGAAGAAAAATACTCACCCTTAAATGCCTAAAGAGCCAGGCTTGAGCTTCACTAACCAGGACAGAATGCCCAGGTCACTCTGTTACCCTTACTTGCTCTCACAGTGTGACACGTAATGTTCTGATTAGCTAAACCTGACATTTACAGTTTCTCTTTTAACAAGTGTTAAAAAACACTGTTCTCTCTAGAGTCTCATTTTGGCTACAAAACAGTCTCTAGCACCAATTATTAGAAAATCTGTATTTTAAGCTTCTTTCTTGTTCCACCATGTAAAATATTTAATAAACAAAGTGGTACACAACTGTTATCTCAGCACTTTGGGACAATGAAGCAGGAAGATTGAAAGACTGAACTCAGCCTGGCCAACCCAGTGAGATCTAGTCTCAAAAAATTTAAAAAGGATTGGGGATGTAGCTCATGGGAAAGACACTGAGTTCAATCCCCAGTACCATTGCAAGAAAAAAATTTACTAGTTAAGACATCTGGATTTTAGTAATACCTCTACCACTAGCTATGTCATTGTGGCTTCACATGCAAAGAGGAACTAAATAATTGAGTGCTCTACAGTTCTAAAATTCAGAAAATTTGCCAAAACCACACCTATAATTCCAGCACTTGGGAGGCTGAGGCAGGAGGATTGCTGTTGAAGTTGAGGCTAACCCAGGTTTATATAAATGAGTTCAAACCAGCCTGCACTACACAGTCTCAAAATAATCAAACCTCACTCCCTCAAAAAAATCAGGATATTTTAAGAAAATTTATCTTTTATAAAGTAGATATGACCAGGCATCCTGTTCTATTTTCTGTCTCAGATCTACAAGAATGTGAAAGAAAAGCCCTCCCTTATAGGGTAGGGATAATCAAGTCTCTGGAGCTTTGAGTACTTTTAACAAGAACCCAGGAGATTCTTACAACTTAAGGCCAACTTTCTAGGACTTTTGTCTTCAATGATATAATTCATATCCCTAAGATACACCAGATTTTTCCATGGGTTAAGCAGACATAAATGTCATTAAATAAATCAACTTAAAGATTTTCATTTTCTATATTTTCCTAAAATTGATGTGGCCTAAGATGATTGAGAAGAATTACAAATTAATTTCTCCTAATTACTTCCTTTGCCATAAATGCTATCATCCCTATTACTCATTCGAACCTTACAACAGGCCACTGCCTCCAAGTGTGACCGAAACGCACCTGGAGATGTACAGAGACACTCAGCATAAAGAAGCCAGAGGAGTATTTAGATAAAACTGTGCTCTTCAGAAGTAACAACTGAGAAGGCTGTGCCAAGAACTGCACACTCACATATGCACTGAGACATTTTCTGATTAAAAGTTTAGTGTGATTTGGTTAATTCTGAAATGGGTTCTTCTCAGCACTCAAAAAGCCAATACCAAAAAACGAAACATACTGACTTTGGCTTAGCAGAACTAAGCAGCCTTACTATAACACAAGTGATTCACAGCACTTCTCAATTTGATGGGTCAGATAACCTGCTTTTTCAATGTTAGCCCTAGTTCTGTTTAATAACTACCTTGGACTTTGAAGCCAGAACATTACATATAACAGGAAGGTAAGAAACAAAATTTGGGCCGGGGATGGAGCTCAGTGGTATAGCGCCTGCCTAGCAAGCATGAGGCCCTGTGTTCAATTCCTGATACTAAAAAAAGAAAAAGAAAAAAGAAAGACATAAAATTAAAGAAACAATTGCTTCCCAGATAATTTGCTCATTGAATGAATAAATATAGTTTTAAGTTCACTCTGACAGTTGTTCCCTCTCAGACTTTCATTTCTGAAGGGAGAATGAAGTAGCTTATATATTTGTATTTTGACCTTGTATTCGTGATGCCTCCAAACTGATGATATAATTCTAAACTATAGAGTCTCAAATTCCCTAAGTTTATAAGCAAAAGTGAACACAAATGTTTAAATGAATAAATAAACAAGAGAATGGATCATGCTTAGCAGACAGGCTCAACACTGATGTTTTGAGATATGACCTGGTCCTCTAGTATTTCCGGATCCAGCTATGCTATAAAAACCTTAATAACTAACTGAATCTCTTTCTGGCAAATAGGACACGAGGCCCCGGCCTTTTTAAGACGTCTAGCACAGTGAAAACAAGTGGTAAGATGGCTTGTCCTTCCATGAATAATGTTTCCATCTCGTGGTCTTCTCTTACATAAGCTACATGGCTTCAAGATATTCTGGCAGTTCTCCATATTTTCTGTATCTGCTTTCTGCTCAAAAATGTTATCTGATTGTTCTCCCATGCTTGAGATGGTCTCTTGGCTTTCAGAACTGTGGGCCAAATCCAAAAATTCCACTGAGCTGCAAGGATTAAACAGTTTGGAATTGTCTTCCTTGACAGGTACATCTTTAGGTCTAACAACCGGAGCTGAAATGGTTCTTCGGCAATCAGGGACATCAATTCCTTCATTTTCCGTCTTTTCAGGTATGGCAGTGATATCAGATGTGGACAGAGAATGAGTTAACTTAGAACAATCAGAATACCAATCCTTCCTCAAGGCCCAGCAACGAAAACAGTACCTCTTGCTTGGAGAATTAAATTTCTTGCACTCTGTACACTGCCATTCATCCTACAAAGACAAATTCAGCTAATTAACACTAAGCAGTGACCATGATACTGAGATGATGGGCCATGTTATCATTACACTAAACTAGCAAGAGGGCAGACATCCCATAGCAGTGATACAGCACAGTATTTGAACAAATTCTACAACCACATGGAAGCAGGTGTTCGGAAACTGTACACTGACAGTGCTACAACTGCTATTTTCAAGCCAAATTATGATGCAGAAAGTTCAAAAAGCAAGAAGAAAATTAAAGCAGCACATTCCTTATTCCTAGCCCTCTGAGAGGCTGAGGCAACAAGACTGTAGGTTCAATTCCTGCCTGAGCGACTTAACAAGACACTGCCTCAAAATAAAAATGTTAAAAGAATGCTAAGGGATGTCTCTCAGAGCAAAGGCCCTGGGTTTAATCTCTAGTACCAGAAGAGGCGTAAAAAGCTAAATTATTTTGGCTTTTCATCCAGTTCAGGTGAAACTTCTATTGTTTGTTTTCCATGTTACCTTCTTTAGGGCACTTTTTTTTATTTTTCTGGTATGGGGATCGAACTTGACCTCACGCTTGCCAGGTGCTTATGCCACTGAGCTAAATCCCTGGCCTACGGCACTTTTCTAAGCATAATTTATATCTTTATACAGCATGAGGGTAACAAAGAAGAGATGATATTCCTTTTTTCCTACTAACAAAAAATAAACTTGGCAAAGAGGGAATTAAAACTAAAATGAGATTTGAAAACTACTCAATTTTACAAATGTTCTCTCACTGCTCTGAGGATCAAAAAGTAAACTGTATGCATAAATCACACACTCTGAGAATCTTTATCCTTGAATTCCAACTAGATTTACCCCTACTTCTCAAATATTCCAATTAGGAGATGCTAGAACTCAATAAATTTTAAATGTCTTGCTTAATTCAAAAGTAGCTACCTGGAACAAGTCGTGAGTATTTAATGTGAGTAATGGTCTGCCTCTGACAGGATCAATGATTTGACACAGGCAGATTTCATTCCTTTCAGGACAAAGCCAAGCACCTCAGGTTTAGAAATCATAACTCAACTGTCACTCTAGACTAAAAGGCAGCGATACAACCATGTGTTAAATGAGGGTCCTCCCCAGAGTCACAAAACACTCTCACCAATTTATGATCCTCCAATCTCATGAAATGCTATACTCATGAAGGAACTTCATGAAGAGCTGGAATTTTTAATTGATGGTATGTTACAGTTTAACTGGCATCACTTTTTGTTCCTTAATAGTACATAAAATAAAAGGGCTTATTAAGTTTAATGGCATCTTTGATTCAATGAAATACAAGCTATTTGCTTAATAGGGTTTCCAGGCGCAAGTAGCCACAGAAGTCTGATTAAGACGGAAACATCTATCTCTGCTATTTCCATTATGGTCAAGAGAACTTACGAGACCAACACATTACACTTCATTACTTCGCTATGCACAGCCAGATAATGTGCAATGAATTAGGATGGTCAACAGCAGTGTAGAGGGAACATGGAAGACCAACACCAGGACAACCCTAAGTGTTTCTATTCTCAAATAGCAAAATATAGTCTCCTCCTTATCCATGCCAACCACATTATCCTTTTCTCAAATTTCAGAAAAAACAAAACAAAACGAAAAACCCTAACAAGATGTAAAGAATTCACTATCTCTTAGCAGCTAGGAAAAACAGAAAACAGGAAAAAATGGCATCCTCAATACAACTGAAACACTGGGATTACATCACCTAAAGATATGGTCAGTGCAAAAGTGCCTTATCAGGTGTTCATACCTCAGAGGTAACTTCTACATCAGTATCATCACTTAAGGACTTGGAGTCCTCAAGGTCATCATTTTTTCCCATTTCAATCATCTGTGAAGCAAACACATCACATTACTAAAGTTTATCTGTTTTAGTTGAGGCTATTATATTCTGAAAGAAAAAGACAAACAGTGTTAGTTTAAAACTCACATTCTGCCTCCATCACTAACATTTAACATGGGATACCTTAAATGTGAGACCAAAAACATGATTCTGCAGACATTTAGCTAGCATTTTAGTGGCACACCTGATCGAAAAGCATCCAGAGGGTTTCCAAGTATCTTTTACCTTCAGAAGAAAAAAGTGTCCAAATTTACAACTTTAAAGAAAAATAAATAATATCAGCGTAGAAATGCTACAAATTACTACGGAGAAAATTTTCATCTTGGGAATCCAGGTAGACAATGAAGAATCAAAACAAAGCATTTAAAAGTTTTACTTTTCAGACTCAAGAGTAAAACTAGTTATTACTCTGGTTGTCTTATAAAAACCTCCACAGTCCAGGAAACAAAAGAAATATTTAGAATTTAAAATGCTAAAACCTAAAACTACAGTTTTGCAGTTCAATAAATGGAGTAAAAATAACTAGGAAACAATTCTGAACTTCTGTTTAACAACTTTCTCACAAAAGTATTTTAACAACCATCTCTTACATGTAAGTTTCCAAATTTCACTTTTGTCTTCTTTCTGCCACCAGCATTCCTTCCAACTAACTAGTCTAAGAGAACCCAAGCTATAAAGCAGTCAAAATTCCTATATATCCCATAAATGAATGGGTGAAAAAGACAACCCAACTCAAGCATATCTTCCCACAATATTTATTCAAAGGCTGTTTACTGAAAACAGACATGCTGGGCACTAGGTCTATGCCAAACTTCTTTTGAGACTTGAACATTCAGCCTTTTATGACTTCAATTTGGTGTGTTCATACCATATTGTATTCAAAATTCTCATTTCCTCTTTTCTCCCAATTCTAGAATAGGTAGAAAAAAATCACCTATCTTCCCATTTAGTCATGAAAAATGCTGAGACAATTCAGAACCTTGCCTTTTTAGCAAAGCAAGATTTTGAAGGTGGAAAATAACATTTCACAGTACAAGATTGGGTAAACAGTAAGGAACACAGTGGCTTATAGCTTCTAACGAAGCAGGAACTTCACCATGAACTTCACCTTACTTCAAGGCAGCCCTGATTAACAATATAGAACTTACAGTTTGATACAATGAAAGATTAAAAATAAAGGAGGGATTATGTAACTTGTACAAAGAGAAAGGGAGAGAGACCAAAAGAGATTATACTATGAACATGTAAATACAACAAACATGAAATTTTTCCAAAACGTACCTTCTTGTCACTCACTTTCCCTACTTCTTCACTTGCTTGTTCAGTATCAGCAGCTTCAACTTTTATTCCAACACCTAACTGCTCTGATACTGACTCATTTAAAAACCACACATCATCTGTAGTATCTGAAACAATGGCAGTACCTATATCCTAGTAGAGAAAAATAGACATGAGCTTCCATAGTTAGGGTCACTTATCAGAGATGCAAAACCAACACAAAAGAACCCAAAACTATGGTCTTCACACTGCATCTTCAAAGAACATTTCACCTTTCCTCCACAGATATCTGACACTTAACTACTAGGAATTTTTTTTCGTTTTTTTGGTATTGGGAATTGAACCTAGGGTTTTGTGCATGCTAGGAAATCTTTGATCTTAATAGTAATTCAGAAATAGTACTAAATATTATAAAAGGTTTAGGACTCTCAATCCATAAGGAAACAAAATTCATCTTGGTATTTGTTTCCAGAGGTCTTCTAAATATCTAGAAAACATTCACAACTTCTGACATTGTCTTTCTTTTAATGGTCAATGACTGTTTGCTGAAGAAATACGAATGGTAAGCCAAACCTTTAATCTCAACACTTTCTGAAGTTTTAAGCAATTTAAAATGTATAAAAACTTAATTTCTGCATTTTGACATGCATTCCTACAACATTCATAAAACAACTTATTTGGCCACTGTTAATAGCCCCATTCATTTATCCAGCAAACACCAAATGTGCCATAAATTGTTTTTTTGTTTTTGTGGTTTTTTTTTTGTTTTTGGGGTACTGGGGATCCAATTTACAACCTTGTGCTTGCTAGGCAGGCACTTATGCTGCTGAGCTAAATCCCCAGCCTCCCATAAACTGTTCTAGGTATTAGGTAAGGGAATAGAGTAGTAAATAATACAAAAGCCCTGGCCTACATTTCAGTGAAAGTAAATGGACAATAAATGCATACATAAAATATATATTTTTTAAAATGAAAAGTGCAAAGCCGGGCACTCCTGTTTTCCTAGCTCTCAGGAGGCTGAGGCCAGTGGATCATTCCAAGTCCAAGATCAGCCTGGGCTACAAAGTGAGCCCAAGTCAGCCTGAATCACACAGCAAGACCTTTTCTCAAAAAGACAAGAAATAACAGAACAGAACAGAAAAGAAGGAAGAATACAGCATAGAATAAAGATTAAGATGAAGCAGAGCCAGGCACAGTGGCGCAGGCCTGAAGTCACAGCACTCAGGAAGACTGAGGCAGGAGGACTGTTGCAAGTTTGGGGCCAGCCTCAGCTACAAAGTGAATTGAAGGTCAGCCTGAACTACAGTGCAAGACTGTCTCAAAAACAACCATCAAAAAAAAAGAGAGAGAGAGAGAGAAAGAGAAAGGAGCAGAGTAGCTAGAGAAGAACTATCTTAATTAGGTATGGCTTTTGCCAAAGCCAGCACTTCAAACTGCACAGATCCAAATACCAGTGGTAAGGACCCCACTATAATTGTGCAGCATGACAGCACTGGTGGCCAGGGACAGCCTCTCCAAGGAGAGTACATAAGTCCTAAATCACAGAAAAAAAGAAAGGATTTGGGGAAAGAATGTTCCACAAAGAACAAAGAACAAATTTAAGTTGCCTGAGGGTGAGAAGAATTTTGGGCTATAGGCTCAGAAATAAGCCTGATGTGTCTAGACGTCATGCAGTGAGGAATGGCAGGAGGAGAGGCAGCAGGCTGGACCCACTTCCGCTATAGACATGGTAAAGAATCTAGATTTTAATGTACTTGTTTTTTGAACCCACTGAAGAGTAAGAAATATGGCACTGATGTAAATTACCCATTTAAAATGATTTGTCAGGCATGGTGGCATAAGCCTATAATCCCTGCACTCAGGAGGATGCCCTCAAGTTCCAGGACACCTGGGATACACAATCAGTTCCAGGCTAGCCATGAATCACATAGTAAGACTCTGTCTCAAAAAGATAAACCAAAGACAAAAAATAACTTTTACTCCTTGAAAAGACTCAACCCCTAGATGAACAAGAATAAAAACAGAATCATCGGTTACAGCTGTTGCAATCCTGTACAAAAAAAAAAAAATGATGGTTTGAATTAGGTTATGACAGTAGAAGTAATCAAAATAACCAATTTTGAATAAAAAGCTAATAATCTAAATGTAGCCTATGGTTGAAAGAAATCAGTATCTCCTCGTGTTTGGCTGCAATAATTAGGCAAACAGCAGATTCACAAAAAATGAAAGACTGGAAAAATAGTGTTTGGCAAAACAGAAACAAGATGAAAAACAAGGGTTCGGGTTAAATGTCAAATCCTCAAAGTGGAGGTGCTAAGTAGGAAACCTGATATGAAACTTCAGCATACAGGGAATGGTAAGGACACAGAGATACATATTTGGGCCTCCCAAGTATACAGACAAAGACAAAGCAGTGAATAAGAATTCTTAGAGAATACAATGTGTATCAAGAGGAACCAAAAAAGTTCCCCTTCAAATGTGAAATTTACCTGATGGGTCTGTAAATCAGTTGAACCATTACTTCTGGGTGTACAGTTACTTCTCAAGTTTCCTAGAAACCACCAAGGCAGGCCAGCTACATCCCACTCCTCAAACCCAAGGTCCAGCCTAGAAGTTTCGTCTTGGGTTAAATTTTCTATCAAGTCTTCATCTACAGAAGTTAAATGGAAACATTAATTATATATATGTCCAACATTTGAAAGACAAGAATCTCCTTCAAGAATAATATTTACAAACTCTTTATAAAGATAGATAAAAAGAAATTCCTACTTTCAGTAAAAATGAACCAGAAATCAAGCATCCATCTTAGTGGCAGAGCCCAAAACTGCTCCTATTTAAGCTTCCTTAGTAAATAAAGACACTAGAAGTACATACTCATTTATCAAAGAAACTAAACTCTTAAACTATTACTCTTTAAACTATCTAATCAATGAATGGCACTGTTCCAAAATTTCTGGGGCCAGGGATTTAGCTCAGCGGCATAAATGCCTTCTTGGCAAGCACAAGGGATCATGAGTTTGACCCCTAGTACGAAAAAAAAAAAAAATTGCAAAATGATTTCTACATGGTTAATAATAACTGGTGTGTGTGTGTGTGTGTGTGTGTGTGTGCGTGTGTGCGCGTGTGTCTCGTACTGGAGACTGAGTACAGGGTCTTGTACATGTCAAAAGCAAGTGCTCTACCACTGAGGAACGCCCCCAGCCCAGTAACTATTTGTACCATTGTATGATGCTGGATAATGGTTTGATCCACTGTTGTACAAATAGAAACAGCATTACTAGCCTGCATCCTTGGGATCAAAGCAGGGTGGTACAAACCTAATAAGTAATCATAAGGTTATCAAGGCAGTCTTACATCATGTGGGACACTTCTCAGTAACTTACGTTTTGGTATGTAACAATCATTAGAAACATTAAACTCTAGTTATCCAAATACACACATGTGTGCACACATGTATACACACACCCACATCCTTCCCAGATCAATGGGGTCTTTTAGAGTTTTCAAGAATTATCACAAATAGTAAGTCTCTTGCCAATGTGTTTCAAGCAAAAAATTTGTACTATACATGTGAACCATGTTCCAGGTAGTTACTAATACAATAACTATTAAATCTGTTTCTACAAAATCTTTTCTTTATATCCTCCAGTGTCTTTTGTTGTATTTTATACTTTTCCTACTTTTTCACTCTCTTCTACCTTTTCTCAGTGTCCCAGGCCTGCCAATGGCAACCACAATTAAAATATGCTGAGGTTGGGGCTGGGGATTTAGTTCAGCTGCATAAGCACCTGCCTTGCAAGCACGCGGTTGTGAGTTCAATCCTCAGTACCAATAAAAAAATTAAAAATTTAAAAAAAAAAAAGAAAAAGAAGCTGGGTGCAGTGGCTCACGCCTGTAATCCCAGCACTCGGGAGGCTGAGGCAGGAGGATAGTTGGGAGTTCAAGACCAGCCTAGGCTACAAAGTGAGCTCAAGGCCAGCCTGAACTGCATAGCGAGACCCTGTCTCAAAGACAAAAAAAAAAAAAAAATGCTGAGGTACCTATGATTAAAAGGATTTCTGCAATAAACAGGTCCCCACCACAATCTAAGGTTACTCTACTACTGATAAATTATGTTGTTTCTGCTTGTTATAAATGTATCTGTGCCCAGGGAAACTTTAATACTGTTTTACTTGTTATTAAAATGATCAAAAGCCAAATTCTGGAGATGGCATCATACTCAAGTTATGCTCATGTATGGATGCTCTATAATTTATTGTGAGTGGATAAATAGGTCATTTTTCCACAAACAGAAATTTTGTACTATCTACAGACCTTCGAGAAAATTCTAAACAATTTATTCTCAAATTACCATCAAACACAACATAGTTGTTTTAACACTGTTCTTATATTTAGTCTGTTCTTATACTTTAAGCAGTCTTTTAGATAAAAAAGCGAAGACCTGCATTCAAATAAACAAAATTACATATTTAATTTCATACATACAGACTGCAATAGTTTCATAATGAATAGATAGCCCAAAATTCAGGTTTTGATGAAACATGCTTTGAAGCAAACAATTTAGCAAAACAAACTGATTCAGGGTAAACATTTAAAAATACTTTAGTAGCATAACTCTCTGGGATACAGTCAGAGGCCTAACCTGCCTTTAATCCAAGCAGAAGACAAGTACTATACTAGAAATTTTTACACCATAAAATACCTTGAGAAATTTATGACCTTATATATTTTTAAAAGGCATACTTTTAGAAAATAATTTATAAAGTAGGATTCTGGAACTTCCAAAGTTATCAGTTAACTCATTTAGCTTCAATATACCACATCTAACACGATGGTAAAGATCTGGTACCTATCAAGTAAACCCAAAGTACAGGTTTACTATACCTTATTCTTGGCTCTGTGATACTAAGTATGTTTTGTCATTTTTTTTGCAAACTCTAAAATCTGTGGAAATAAGCGTGTACCTCAAAAGGTAAATACAAACCAAGATAAAAATTCTAAGCTGTCAAATATGTATGGGTGTACTAAGATTAAAATAACCAAGGCAGCCAAATCCATGTATACAGACAATGTACTAAGTGATAAACTGATGAATGTGCAGTTATTTTAAATTAACCCTGCTAGCTAATAGATGGGCCATGCACTATCCTGGTAGTCATGGACTAGGAGAACACTATCCTCTTCAAATTAACAATAGTGGCAAGGCTGAAAAATGGGTTTTCAGAAAAGAACTAGAAGGGGGGCATATGCAAGACGTGTGCAGATGCAGAAACGGCATTATTTTTTTGAGCTTTCTATGTAAGTTTCTAAAATGGTCTTCATTACAGCTAATATTTAACATAGATAGATGTCATTTTCAGAAATAACCCAAGGAAAGAAGGGAGGAAGGGAAGAAAAAGAAGAAAAGTCTACATACCCTTTATCCAAAACTTACCTTCTCTAGAATTTCTGGGTTTATGTTGTGAGGTAGGCAGTATATGAACATCACTTTCTTCAACTCTTTTCCTAGGGCTAGAACTTCCTTGTGCATTTTGCTGAAAGGGAAAGATGTCCATCAGTGCAACAGAAATGACTGAGACCAAGGGATGTAGCAGTTCCACACTGGCTCACCAGTTAGTGTGCAACACAATGGGTTAAGCACAAGAAAATAAACTCTGGAGTTCACAGCAGTCATCAAATAAAGCAGCACAACACTTCTCAACCCACCATGAGCAGAGCTAGAAAAAACCCAAACCTAAGGGGGAGGAGAAAATCTCTGTGCAAAGGCCGAAATCTTAAAAACAGGCTATCTGTATAAAGCCTATAATGCCTACTACAAAATTAGGCGTAATGCAAAAACATATGAAACCTCCAGCAACTACCAAGATGATCATAAAGTTTCCCCAAGTTTGAGGAAAATTTAGGAAGTGGCCTGACACAAGCTTAACTGCAACAAGCCTGCTATAATCTAATACATGAAGCAGTTTGCAAACCCCTGTACAGACAGACACAAGGCTGCTCTTTCTCACACACATATACATACTTGCATACAGGCACACACAAACCCAAAGAAAACGCAACTGGAAGAACCAAAGATCAGAAGTGCTACATCCCAAAGAAAGATTCAGAGACTGGAACTCTGTTATAGGCAGAACAGAGAAGTTCACTCTGTCCCTGGTCTGTGAACTCCCAAGAACATTTCCTTACAAAATTCTTACCATACCGAGGGAAAGGCCTTGGGAGTTCAAGATCCACAGGTACAGAGAAGGGGCCACTCTGTACAACAAAAGAAGTCACCATGTGGTGATTTTACCTTCGGTTGATCTTGACTTGGAATATCCATACTGTGATCTTGTGCGAGAGCGAGAGTCTGAGCAGCATCTGGATAGCAAGTAAAACAAAAGGAAAACCTTCCCTGGTAATAACCGTTCTTTCCACAGAAAAAAAGGACCTTAGCAAACAACCCTGCAGCCAGGTTCGGTCCCTGTAGCTGTGCGCCACATTGGCTGGACAAGGCTCTCATTTGCAAGAAGGTACAAAACAAAACTGATAAAAATGCTAAAGACTAAAGCAGGCCCTGTTCAAAATAATACTAAAGTATAATCTTGGGAAAAGTAAAAAATGATTGAAAATGTTCTCCGTGCAAGCTTTCAAAGTATTACAAGAAATATGCTCCGAAAGTATTTTTACAATTTTCTGTATTATTAAAATTGCTTAAAAAGCAACAAAAAGGCTGGTTTTTAAAATTTATATTTTTTAAGTATCAAATCATTAAGTCGGGCATAGTAGCACATGCTTATAATTCCAGCCCATGGGAAGATGAGGCAGGAGGATCACCATGAGTTCCAGGCCAGCCTGGGCTACATAGTGAGTTCAAGGCCAACCTGAGCTACACAGAAAAACAAAAACATTGTTGAATTATAAAATGTAAAAATCTGATTTTTCTCTCACTTGCTTCACAAAACAGTAACATCTTCAAGCCAACCTACATTTTTAAGTGTTAATCATGATTTTATGACCTAAAATTCCCATCATCTTAACACTGACTAAAGTTTTTAAGAAGTCTAACTTCGAACATTTTCTAAGCAGAAAGACAAAGCAGGTGCGAGGCCAATAAAAGTAAAGAAACAACCTGAGACAAATTTTTAGATATTACATTAGACAAACAGAAAAATGCATTTCAAGGACTTAGAAACTTCAAGCAGAGAGCAAATAAAAATCTGGCTCTAGCCAGGGATTTAGCTCAGTGGTGTAAGCGCCTGCTTGGCAGGTGCATGGTTGTGAGTTCAACCCCTGGTACCAAAAAAAAAAACAAAAAAACAAAACAAAACTTGGCTCTAGAAAAGAACAAGCTACAGCAATTTAATGACCTACACCATTCATTATATGTATATGTAACTGAAATGCACACAAAATAATTCTGTTGTGGACTAGGTTCCTCAGCCACTACCAGGTCCAAGAAGAAAACATTTATGACAAAATTAACTTAATCTATTAAAGACTGTCAGAGAATACCCAGATTCTACAACCAATCTGACAACTCAGCTGTTTTGCACAAAGCAAACATGTGCAAGATTTCCACAAAGAACATTGTTTCTAGAAGTACTTTTTTAGCTAAGTGGAAATACTGAGAAGTTCAAAATCAGTATTTTCTGATCACAGTGGTATTTAACATGCAATGCCAAAGAAGCAGTTCTTTAATAAAGCAATTGTATTCTTGTCAAAAAGCTTTATTACCTTCTAATTAGAAGCAAAAAGACTATCTAGGAAAGCTACTAAGTAAAAAGAAACCTTTTTTTTTTTCTTTAAATATTTGCTGAGTGGACCCAGGACCTTAGCACTGAGCTACCTCGCAGTCGTTTTATTTTGAGACCATGTTCTCATTAAGCCACTAAGTTGCCCAGGTGAGGCTTGAACCTGAGATCCTCCTGCCTCAGTCTCCCAAAGTACGAGGATAAGTGTGACACCACCATGCTCAGCTGTTTAAAAAATATATATATATGTATATAATACACATACACACACACATATATATATATTTATATATATATAAATACCAAGCTTGTTATAGCTATTTCATCTTATTAGTACACATGGAGAACTTTATAGAGCAATGTTTTAGAAACAACTTCACTAGAATAATGACATTATCTTCAACTATTAACACTAAAGTTTAAGCATTTGCAGATGTAAATCATATGAAAAGCACTTTTTATTTTCCTTTCAAATGATGCAAAACACATGTGAACTAAATTATGAAAATCAGAGATCAGCTGTAAGCACCAATCCAAGGGCAAGTAAGAGCAGACAATCAACAAAAATTACTTGGGCAGTGTCCTGGTTTTAGTATTGTAATGTTGCCATGGGGCATCAGGATTATATTTCTGCAATCTTTTTTTTTTTTTAAAGTCTCAAGTTTATTCTTTTTTTTTTTTTTTTAAATCAGTACCAGGGATCAAACTCACGACCATGCGCTTACAAGGCAGGAGCTTATGCCGCTGAGCTAAATCCCCAGCCCTTTTTTTTTTTTTTTTGATAGCAGGGATCAAACTCATGACCCCAAGCTTGCCAGGCAGGCACTGTGCCACTGAGCTATATCACCAGTTTTTGCAAATTTTAAGTCCAAATCTTTTCAAAATAGTAAATTAAACAATAGAAACATTTGAAAGACTTAATGTTCAGAGAAAAAAAACATCCAAAACAATGAGAAGAGGGCAATTTCTGTTACAGTAAGAGTTAAGGGGACATCAACATGTGGCACAGTGGGCAGAGCGAGGCCTGGCTGGTCAGAACTCTCCACTCTACCTCTCACCGGTGGCATCTGATATTGGGCAAATCAGTTACACTATTAAAAACAAAGTTTCTTCATCTCTTGCCCTCCTCACAGGATTTTTGTGAGGATGAACTGTTTATTACAGAAGTGCTTTTTATAATATATGACATGTTAAATTCTGCAAAGAAAGGACAAGAAAGAAAATGGGAGTGAAAAGCTGAGAATTATATCTATTCCAGATACTCAGAAAACAGATCAACTAGAAAACAAATTTTCCCTGGTACCGATAAAAATGAAAAAGACAAAAAAAAAAAAACAAATTTTACTGTAAGTAATCAGTCCTTATAAAATTTTCCATATACTTCAGGCTACCAGAAACTATCCCAGGAAAGCCATATTATTTCACAAATGACTAAATTTCAATAAACCTACCATAGTAGCTACAAGGCTTTTCCCTCGCAAATAGAAATTCACAGCTGCATAGAGTAGGTAAAATAAGCAAATGGCTCAATGAACTAAGTAGGCTTCAAGTTAATGTAAGTCTGGGGACTGGGGATAGGCTCCATTGCTAGCAACGAATCCTCAAGAAGTCAGTTAAAAAAAAAAGTCAGTAAAAGTTCAAAACCATGTTTCACTATGAGAACAAAATCTACCTAAAAGCATAAATCTTTATTTGGAATGATTTCTTTTTCACCTACTTCAATAAACACAGCCAATTTAAAAAGATTACATATCCTTTCTTCAAAGAACAATGTTCCCTACAATCTAAAGCTAAGGAAAGAGCTTTGTGGAAGGGGGAGGGGCGTCATTATGTGAAAATGAGAGAGTCAGGAGCTGCATGTCAGTTTTGTCTAGTTCTTCACCCATCTCCACCATACCACCAACTTGGAGACAGACTCCAAAGCAGCCATTTTCCTATAACCAGCTAATAAGCTAAAAGGGCAGAAATTAAAAGGTTTAGAGTCAAGCAAAGGTTTAAAGAAATTAACATTCAGATTAGGCGAAAGGTTCTGGAGGAAGCTTTGTAACAGCTGGATCAGACTTAAGAGCACTTGAGCCCACAGAATCTTAACCAACCAAAAGCGGGAGGGAGAGGCAGACCTTATATGACTCAGACTTGATGCAATACAAGTACAAATCACCACCTACGAAAATCTCTTGGCAAAGAAATCTAAACTTGAATCTATTCAAGCACTACCAGTTTACCAAAATTAGAGAAGATAAAGAAGTTAAATAATTATGAAGATATAATCTGCCAACTCAACGTGAGAAATTCTCCAGGACAAATGATCTACTTCTTCCATAAATGAAGGACATGACAACAAAAGCAGTATCTATACCACAGTGGAGTGACTGTAATTAGTAATTTATTGTATATCTCAAATTATCTCAGAGGGTTTTGAATATTTCCATCACAAAGAAATAATAAATCTTCAGAATGACAAAAATGCAAATTACCCTGATTTGATCATTATTTATACTGTATTCTATAATCCACGACTATGAGCAATTATGTGTGCTTTTTTAAAAAAGAAGTTTTGTTACTGAATGAAGGTGTTAAATTAAACCAAACCAAACACACATACACATTCACATAAAAAAGAGGATTAAATTTTAAAGATCAAAGACACTTAGCAGATCAATCGAATGCAACATGTGTGGACAAGTCAGACTAATTTGAACAAGTCAAAAATAAGTTTTTTCTTTTTAAAAAATTTCTAAAACACCCGGGGAAAATAAAATCATACATTGGCTTATCAAAGAGAATTAATGGGAATTATCAATATTGCGTGTTATTAACTGAATACATTTAGGATGCTATATTTATGTCCGAAGGAAAAAGTCCTTGTATGTTAGACTTTTAAAAGTTATTACTAGATGAAGCAAATAGGACATTAACAACCGCTAGGTCTAGAAGGCCTAGCATCTTTCTGTGCTCAGCAGGTGTGAAATTTTTCAGTGAAAAGCTGAATGCCACCCACGATGCCCTCAGGATAGGCAATGCATGTGCCCCAGTCACAGCAGACAGCACGTCCTCCCTAAGCCCCTCTTTGCTTTCCCATCACTTGCTCTCCCGCTTGAATTCAAAGCTATGATACAGACGGAAGAGATATGTGACATACCTGTAGCAGCAGTGGCTAAAGTAACAAGATTCTTTCTTAGCATATCATAGAGAGGGCTGTTAAAGAAACAAAATAAAAATTAAGTCCAAAAAAAAAAAAAAAAACTCCAAAGGGTATTCTGAAGATATTAGAGGTTTTCTACTAAGAAATGTCTTCTGGCATGCTATCCCTCAACTTTATTAGAGCAACAGAGTTCTCTTTCCGTATTTTTTTTTTTCAATACTGAAGATACAACCCCCACAGGTGCTTTCACTGGGCCACATTTCTAGTTCTTTGAAATATAATAAGACAAAGTCTTATTAAATTACCCAAATTGACCTCAAACTTGCAATCCTCTTCTCTCAGCCATCAGTAGTCGGGATTACAGATAATACGACACCACATTCTCAACTCGAATATTTGGAGAATTGTCTCACTATGTAGTTCAGGCTAACCTTGAACTCACTAGGTAGCCCAGGCTGGCCTTGAACTTACAGTGATCCACTCACCTCAGCCTCCTGAGTGCTGGGATCATTGGCATGTGCCACTAAACCCAACTCAAAACATTTAATTCTTTAAACATTAAGACGTGAATGCCCAGACACTTGTGGCTACTTTGGCACATTAAAGAGCTTTTCAATATACACAATACATTTCATTATTAACAGTAATCTAAGCAGGGAAGATTTACTCCTTCCTTCTAGGAATAGAGTATAAGTGGAAGAGACTCTTTAACAGTGTAAAACAAATGAGCTGAGAAGAAAGCAGTTACTAAGCTAGAGAAAGAACAAATACTGGCTCCTCAAATACTAACTAGTTTGTCTAAAATAATTAATAACCACACACCCATGCAACTAGATAAAGTCATGCTTAGGTCAGACTAGCATACTATGTATTTGGGCAGGGGGTATTTGGTTTTTTGGAGACTATATCTCATTACAGACCTCAGGCTAGCCTTGAATTCACTATGTAGGGCCTCACACTCTCAGTGACCTTCCTGCCTCATCCTCCTGAGTGCTAGGATCACAGGCAACACCATACCTGGTTTCTACTGTTATTCTTACTACGCTCAGCATCAACCTCAAACAGCCATGCAGTTCATTTTTTTCTCCAAACAACTACTTCACAAAACCCTCACCTAGCAACATTAAGCTCCCTCCTTACCTAGACTTTCACCTATGATATTCAATCTAAAGCAATCCTTAAACTAACCCTTTTTAATGGAATCAGTCCTTCAGCTTGCAGATCAAATACCACTTTCTCAAAGTCCTCTCATCCTAAATTGCCACACACTACTGATTCATGTGCCTCTTGTATTGGTGATCACAGTGTATTGGTACCATGTAGTAGCAAGATTATCTGACTGAGAAAGAGCATCTACTGTTTCACAATTCATAAAACCAGACTGTCTGCTCACTACTGTATTCTCAGTGCTTCATGACTACCCTAATTGATGTAGGGCCTTATTTGCTCACTAAAGGAACCGTAATAAGTCATTAAAAACACAGAGAATAAGTGGGTAGGTAAAAGCACTCAGAGATACACAATCTGTCCTTTTTACCTTGGCTCTTTCACGGAGAAGCTCTGACGTCCTAATAGTTCTCCCAAAAGATCTCCACCACAATACACCATATGCTGCTCCCGAGGATCATAAAGCTGCTTCACCATTATATACTGGCCAAGATAGTGCATTACCTATGAGGGAGTGAAATTCCGTGAAACACCTATCTGTCCAACAGCTACCAGTTGATTACAAGGAAATAACTAAGGTAGATTGCTAGAGAGAGACACCACACACAAAAATGTCAGAGCAGGTAACCTGCTCTGAAGGGTGCATAGGAAGGGTCACACAACAATCACTAGGTGACCCACATTCATTATCTTTCTGGCCATCAACAGACCCTACTTTTTAGCCCAGACAAGATGTGACAATGAAAAAAAGTGATTAATTTACGTAATATCCCCTTAAAATTGTTCTTAACAGTTCAAATGAAGGAGTCTGTTCTATTACCAGAAGTAATAAACTTTTTAAATTTACCTGGGCCAAAAAAATATTTTCCAAATCCAGGGACACATAACCAGGTTTTTGATATATATCCATTTTATTTCTTTTTGGCAAATGTACAAAGGTTAATAAGCCATCAGCACTGTATGTGCACAAAAGAGAATGTAGACATTCAATAAATACTTAGTCTATTTAGTCTTTACTATAGAATTCACAAAATGTAAGGAACACAGGTAAGTTCACAATTCAAAACTTTAAAATGTACCTGAAGTTTTCATATAACCTCTATTATGTCACCCAGGTTAGTTCCTTTTGCCAATACACTTAGCTAAATTTCATAAGATTAATCAAATTTATTGAAAAGAAATGTTTTTCAAAAGCTAGCAGACTAAAGTAATTTTCTTACTTAATGATTAAGTTTTTGTCACAGAATACACAAAAACAGACCAAAATAGTTAATCTTTATCATTAGGTTCCAACTTCTAAGGAATTATTAAATACTTTGTACAGAATTTTTCTAAAAGGGTTCCCATTATACTTACTGTAATTCCAAATACTGAATACAGTTATCCAAGCTGTTTTCCAGTTTTCCTCACAATCCAAAAAGCTGTATTTGCAATCCCACTGAGACATTACTGGACTCCAACAAGTTAATTTTGATCTACCACTTCCAATGCAACCCATGGCAAAGGTAGAGACACCAAGATATATTCCCAGTTAAGGCAGCCAAGGGGTCCTGAGTCCAGTCCCCATGAGGATGCGTGGACAAAGGCCCTGTTTCTAGGCCTCTCCCAGAATTTATCCTGTGAAGGAGGATTGCTCAGGGATGAGTGACAGTGAGGATGGTGGGAATTATATGAGTAACTTAAGCTGGCTAGCCAGGTAGGGAGAAGAGCATCTCTGCAAAACACAGAGATAAATATGCAGAAGGGTCAATTTGCATAATCCAATTAAGGTAGGAACAGAATTGTTTTAGGAGGCTGTTGCTTTGGTTTCTGATCTGTAAATCTTGTGCTCTGGAGAGTCATAGCTTCTTTACTTTGAGGCTCCTACCCAGTTGACATTCCCGGAGCTATTAGCTCTTAACATCCCGACGTGCTCATATCTTTTACAAAGAACACTATGCAGGAAACAGGAGACTGCCTAATGGCTTTAGACATTACACACCAGTACCTCAGTACCTCAGTACTCAGTACCTAGCCTTATTTCAATGCTTAGAGCCAATTGAAGAGAGAAGGAAATACCATAGCCAGCTCTCTACAGATCAGTATAAGGAAATAAGTCTCCAAATAATCAAAGCTGCAGTCTTTGTTTTGCATGCAAGGGGAGTCACTGGAGTTGTCTTCCACAATACTGACAGTGATACTCCTAGTCATACCGTTAAACAAATTCTGGTATTCATGACTTAGCCCAGCTCTCAGATCTGATCAGCTAGGAAAACTAAGATGGAAAAAAAAGCACAACCTTGAAGAAACAGGAGGAAATTCTTTGTTGCCATCCAACTTCCAGAAAAAAATAAGTCAGCTCCAAGTATTTAAAATAGAATCTTCTAAAATACTAGTCTAAATTTGTATATAATACTATTTCATTGTATCATACTGCTTCAATGTAGATAACCATATTTTTTTTAAATATCAAGAAATTCTTTTAGAATTCTAAAAATAAAAACCTACTCGCCCTGTAAGCATAGATAAAATTCTACTCTGCAAATGAAAGGATTGTCACAATTCATTCTAACAACTTTAAGAGTAGTTTAAATCCATACTTTAATAACAGTTGATGTAAGTCTTATGTACAGGGGCTGGGGATTTAGCTCAGCAGCATAAGCGCCTGCCTTGCAAGCAGGCAGTTGTGAGTTCGATCCCTGGTACCGATAAAAACAAAAAAGACCAAAAAAAAAAAAGTCTTATGTACAGCATTAGAATTTTAGAGATACAGTCCAAAATAATATACTTGACAAGTAGGAGGCTGGCCCTTCTTTCCCTCCTTTCAGGCTGAAGTCCCCTTTCCCCCTTCACCCTTCTCATTTCCTCTACCATCCCATGATCTTCAATAAATGTAGCTACTTACTATAAAAAGGAGAGTGGGGCACTGAGGATATCGTTCAGCAGTATAGCACGTGCCTACCACACACAAACCCCTGGGTTCCATCTCTAGTATCTCAAAAAAAAGAGACAGGTGTGGGTATTTTTTAAAAAGAAAAAAAAATGCCTCCAGATTTACCTTCTTGAGAGGCATAATGCTTTGGAAATATAGCAGTACCATTAGGTATGGAGCTTTTCATTTAATAGAAAAAAGAAACTTGGTAATTCTGTTTCCTCTGTTCATGAAGGACTCACTATCCACCCCACTAAATGCAAAGGGTTCCCAAAAATTAACATTTTAATATTGGATCTTTTCTACTTAAGGAATGGATTAAAAAAAAAGAACGAACGAAAGAAAAAACTTCAGAAGCTAAATAAGCTATTTAAATGCATAAGAATTTAAAATAACTTACAGTGTTCAGAATAGTATTTGACATATTTATAATGAAATACCACCGTATCAAATTCTGGCCTGGCTGAGTATCTTGTAAATCGGTGTCCCTTTTAAACTGCACATGGTTTAACTCTGAGATAAATGAATTCACGGTTAATCTTATACGACACTCAAAAGGAAGTCTAAAAGAAATATGAAGTTCAATTTAGCATGATGGTCTTCAAAACAGAGTGAGGTTGCCCCATAAAACCATAGCTATAGAACTGATTTTAGAACTAAGTATTCTTTCAATTCTACTTCTCAACTGTTCTTAAAACTGAGAATTTCTTTGATGTCTTACCTCTTTAACGGTGAACATTTCACCTTGTGCACCTGCTGCCTGCAATATCTTCAAAAGCGGAAGTTTTGGTCGTACCTGACAGAAAGGTAGAAAATAATCTGTTTACTTTACAATTCGATTTGTTTCTAAAGCCTTAAGGAACAAAGAAAATTTCCTTAAATCGTTTTTAAAAATCCTAGGAAATAAATCAGTTGATAATGCACAATTTTCCAATGTATACCACTGATGATCAGATTATGTGTACTATAACTAAGGATGATCAGATTACTTGCTGCTTTCTAATAAATCACATTTATAGTAACAGCAGACATACTTACAAGGATGGCTACATTTTGTTTTTTTAAAGAAAGTAAGTGTTGCCTGGGATTGGTGGCACATACCTATCTATAATTCCAGCACTCTGAGAGGCTAAGATAGAAGGAGCTAAAGTTTGAGCCCAGTCTGGGCAACTTAGTGACTTAGTGAAGTCCTGTCTCAAAATTAAAAATAAAAAGGACTGGAAATGTAGCTCAGTGTAAAGGCCTTAGATTCAGTCTAAAAACTGAAACAGAAGGACAGAAGGAGGATGGAAGGAAGGAAACGAAAAGAAAAAGAAAGTAAGTTTTGAATGAGGATGAAGAAAAACTGGAACCTTTGCACACTCCTGGTGGAAATGTAAAATGATGTGAAAAACAGTTTGGTAGTTCTCATAAAGTGAACACGATATAACACTCAAAGCTGTATATGAAAAAAACCGAAAGTGAGGACTAAACTACATATCGGTACAGCAATGTTTTTTTATTTTGTTTGTCTTTTTTATCTGTACCGGGGATCGAACTCACGACTGCCTGCTTGCAAAGCAGGCGCTTATGCCGCTGAGCTAAATCCCCAGCCCCTGGTACAGCAATGTTTATAGCAGCATTATTCCTAAACAGCCCAAAAGATAGATGCAACCAAAATGTCCCCATCAGTGAACGGATAAACAAAATGTGGTTTTATATATATATATATATATATATATATATATATATATATATATATATATCCTTGCTATATATTGACTCTGATTGTGCAGTCTGTGGAATTTTTAGCCATATGACTTGTGGTGCTTTTATTCTATTTTCAGACATTTATATTAAAAAAGTACTACAAGTCAAGAAAAACCAAAACAGAAAACGGGGGGATCCATTTATTGCCCCACCCTATAACCAGTTACTAATCTGAATTATTTCATCATATTTATTATATACTTGATATATTATTGGCACTCATTCATATACCTGTTTTTTTGTTTTGTTTTGTCTTTGTCTTTTTATCGGTACCGGGGATCGAACTCACGACTGCCTGCTTGCAAGGCAGGCGCTTGTGCCGCTGAGCTAAATCCCCAGCCCCCATACCTTTGTTTTTTAAAATTTTTTTATTTTAAAGAAATTAAGACAAAAGAGGACATAACAAAGCAGATCAGAATATAAGCAACACAATATCTCACAAGACAACCCATAATTAACAGTAGCTACCATAATGTCTCTCTTTGAAATAGTTGAGCATAACTTCATATACAATAGTATCAAACATAACAGAATAGTATAAACCATTCAAGAGAATGAAAGTATTACAGGGCATTCAGAACCAAATAACAGAAAACAAACAATGGCTACTATATTATCTCATTTTCCATAGAAAATTTGATTATACTATCATACATAATAAAATCCAGTAAGATACAATATGATAGAACCAATGGAAATAGAAGAACAAAAGCATGGTAGAATTTCAAAGCAAGATGATATTAAATCAACACTGGCTATTATAACATCTTGTTTTCTTCAAAATAGCTGTTAATACCATCACAGATAATAAAATCAAACAAATCAGGACAAAACCATCCCAACTAATGAATGAAAACGTTATAAGGCTTCAAAGCAATGTAATGGGGAATCATGATTACCATAAAATGTTATGTACTCAACACTTCTTATACCAGGGAGACTATACAGTATTTATAACAAATGAGTTTCATTTATTTCGCTTATGAGTATGATCTCAAGTTGTATCCATTTATTTACAAATATCTCAATGTGATACCTTTGTATCTTGCATTTTTAAATTTCCTCATGTTTCTCAGAATACAGACATTCCTCATTAAACAACCAAGCTCCAGTCTGGTGACTAGATTATTGCTGAACTGGTCACTAACTGAAGAATTGTATTTAGTATGCATATTACAACAGTCAGAACAAAGAAATGGTCAAGGTAATCTCCAACTTGATGAATGCTTTTATTTGTGTAACTCTTACATGAAGTACTGTAAAATATAACAGACCATAAAACTATATATATGAAGAGTATGATCAGCAAAAATCAGTAGTTCTATACCATAGAAGAAGCTACCATAAAGCTGTACTACCACTCACATTCCTGTGTCCTAAGCTTAGAGCAGAGGGTCACAATTCTTCACAGTCATTAAACAGGTAGGCAGGTGAAGAATGAGTACAAAATGTACCAGTCATATATATATTGTTATTAACTGCTTACCTAGACTAGAGGATGGCAAACTACAGCCTGTCCCATATTTGTTGGAACATAGCCATGCCCACTTATTTACACATTGCCTATGACTGTTTTCATGCTACAAACAGTGTTGAGAAGTTATACAGACACAGTACAGCTTGCAAAGCCTAAAAAATTTCCTTTCTGGCCCCATACAGAAAGGTTGCTGACTCCTGCCCTAAACTTTAAAGTGGTTCAAATTCCAGCTACTAAAAGTAGTTCTTAGCCCGGCATTGGTGGCACACGCCTGTAACCCAGCACTCGGGAGGGCTGAGACTGAAGAGTCTGAGGCCAACTTGGGCTACCAAGTAAATTCAAGGCCATCCTAACTTCACAGTGAAACCCTGTCTCAACAAGACAAAAACAAACAAATAAATAAATGTAATTCTTACACTATTTTTGTGCATATAATTTTTTGTGTTTTGAACCTGGAATATAGAACAAAAGTGGAGTAACTGGATCTGGTTAATAACAACATTCTTTTTTTTTTTTTGTCTTTTTCCTTTTTATCAGTACCAGGGATCAAACTCACGACTGCCTGCTTGCAAGGCAGGCGCTTATGCCGCTGAGCTAAATCCCCAGCCCCAATAACACCATTCTTAAGGCTGACACTATCAGAATATTCTCTAATATTCCAACTGGGATATAAAAAGGAGAGACAAGATAAGAATGAGAAGGAAAACCAGGTGAAATGGTGCACAACTATAATCCCAGCAGTCAAAGAGGCTGAGGCAAGAGGATCCTGAATTCAAATCCACCTTGTCTCAAAATACAAAATTCTACAAAGTGCTGTGGATAGATAGTCCAGCGACTAGGCCTTGGGTTTATTCCCTAGTATCACTACCAAAGAAAAAAAAGAAGAGTGGAAAAAAGACCGAGTACTCTGTAGTAGCACTTCTCTGGTTCCTGTTAATTCAGACTTGTAAGCTTATAGTCTGGATAAACATACTTTAAATTTTGATATAAAGCCAACCAAAACAGGAAATTAATAGTGACACAAACCAGGCACGGTGGTGCACACCTTTAATTCCAGCCCTCTGGAGGCTGATGTAAGAGGATCACTATGAGTTCAAGGTCAACCTGGACTACACAATGAGTTCAAAGCTAACGGGAACTATGTAATGAGACTGTGCCTCAAAACAAAAACAAAATGCAACAAACAACAACCAAAAAAAGAAAATGGTAAGTGCAACAGGAAAACAAAATGCAAGAAATCTTTTACTTTCACTAAGGATAAAAAATGGGACGGCCATAAATTCTCCAAGTGTACATAAAATGCTATCCAAAGTTTGCTGTGGTGGCCAAAGGCACTGGAGCATTGAACAAGGAAAGAAATGTCAGTTTCAACAACAAGCTAGCAATGGCAGCAAAGAATGAAGAGACAGTTCTTTGTGTGAGACAAGAAAAGGACGTGGGACTCGAATGTGTCCTTGCATAACCCTACATACAACTATAGTTAAACATTCTGTACATCAGAAAGGTCTAGAAAAATTATGCTATATTTCTGAACAATAAAAATTCTCTTATCTGGGAAACTTTTCCTCTTCAGAAAAACTTAAGGAATGGGACCTTAAAGTTTAAGCCCATGTCTAACATAAAAGACGAGGCAAGCTAATGAGCCTTAGATACAATTCTTGGGAAGTTTACACATCATCCTATATATTCCAGGAGAATAAATCCATCAGTAAATCTATGAAGGAGTAATGTAGAATTAGACTCTACAACCACAAAACACCAGCAAATTTGAATGACCTTGTAATTTTCAGGATCTCCACTGTCCTGTTATGACTGAGGCAAGCAAAGAGGTACAAATACTGTACCACAGTCTGGAGCCCGTCCTCTTAGATCTTAGCACCCAGAAGGCAGATGGGCTGGAATTCTAGTAATCCCACACAGCTCACTACACGCAATACAAACCTGGCTGGCAGCTCCCACCATTTCTGAACACCTAAGATGAGTGTCCATCCAGATATCCTCAGGAGTCCAGGAGAGACCATGGCTGCCACCGTAACCCAGACTCACAATCCAGCCAGGGTTAGCTTAGGATTGCTGCACTCTTCTATGCTGGCAATGCCATGTGTCCATAATGTACAATTTTGGTTTTTGAATTTTATATGGTCAAACTTTTTTTCCATATCTTCAGTCTCCTTCATTCTAAAGTTTATAAGTGTTCCATATATATAGTACAATACAAAATAGTATGTATCTTGTTTTTACATTTAAATCTTTAAAATCTGGGATTTGGTTTTATACAAAGTCCTCAACCCACCCCTGACCTGTGGCACTGAGCTATATTCCCTGCTCTTTTTAGAATTCTTAGACAGAAGCCCAGTGTGGCTGCATATATCTACATTCCCAGCATGAAGCAGAAGGATCACCACAAGTTTGAGGACAGCCTGGACTACACAGTGAGTTCAAGGTCAGCCTGAACTACATAGCAAGACCACACCTCAAACACTCAAAAATAAAAAATAAGATGACATAAAATGTTGAGGCAGGGTCTTGTTAAATCACCCAGGGAGAGCTCAAACTCACTCTTCTTGCCTCACCCTTTCAGAGTGCTAGGATTACAGGGACTCACCATCATGTGAATTTATATATTCAATTTTTAAAGACTGATTTTTAAGAAAATAATGTCATACGGCTGGGGATTTAGCTCAGGGGCATAAGCACTTGCCTTACAAGCCGGCAATCGTGAGTTCAATCCCTGGTACCGGAAAAAAAATAGAAAATAACGTACAACAAAATGAAAAAGACAGAAAATAAATTCACATAACCTGGCCCCAAACTTTCTGCTACCCACATCTAACCTAAAACACTGTCAATTTTCCGAATTATCATTTTGAGCAATCTACAATCTCCATATATTTTCTCAAAAAGCAATTCAAATTTATGAGCACTGCTGTTTAACCATTTCGCAACTGTAATATTTTTAAAAATAACTACTTCTAATCTATGTAAGTTCTAGTCAATGATTTCAGTTACATGCCTCAATTCAATTTCTTAAAAACTTATAAAGAAAAACAAGAATGACCACTAATGATCTACCTGATTGATTCGCTCTGAAGAGATCCTGCAAGCACTCTCAGATGTCGAACACTGGGCAGAGGAGGAATATGATGTCATTTTGGCAGTGAAGACACTTCAGTCTGGTGATAAAACTAAAAGAAAAACAATACATACATATATATATATATATATATATACACACACACACACACACACACACATAAAATCACTTCTAAATAGACAACTGTCTTTTAACATTTACAAACAAAGCCAGCAAAGAGAAAAAAAAGCAAAAACAAAAACCCTGTGACACATGCATCACGGACTCTACACCCATGCTGAAATTCTCCGTACCTTTGATCACTCTGAAGAAAAAATGGCAAAAAATCCTACACGGCTTAAATTAAGTAAGAACCATCTACTCCTTCCTCAGGTGAAACCTGAAACAGCAACAGGTCTGGGCATGCTCCAACCTCACACTGATGTGAATGAGTAAACTGTTCCAGCTGAAAGTCTCATTTACATCTTACTATTTCCCAGGGGCTACTAATCAGATAGTATCAGTTATCTCCTCCTTTGGGTGGCGCTCAAGAGCACCTCTGCAAAGACCAGCGGAATTCTAAAAATGAGGACAGTCTCCATAAGCACTTAAGGAAAACCTCTGCGGGGCAACTTGTTGGAACTTGTCTCTACAGAGCACTGCAGAAAAGTGCATTTTCCAATACCAGTTCATGTGGCTTTTCAAAGTAACAAATCTAAAAAACAAGGCTACCAGAGGCCTACAAAATGGCATTAATCCAAGACAGACATGTATCATTAGGGAAAAGACACAGCATGAACTGAAATAAAGCTCAAATGTTTTCACTATTTTTTTTCCTAAAACACATAAACAGAAGGAAAATAAAATTTTCAAGTAACTTGAGTTTGTCTTTAAGCCTTTTTCTAAGAAACAGGTGAAATTCAACTACCGGTCATGAAAATGTGACTTAAACCACATCTGGGGAAGGGTGATGGGCGCCTAGAAAAACACACACACTGAAGCTAACAAGATCCCTTACTCTTGTGAGACTTAGCTACAACGAAGTATATAAATTCCTCTGTACCTCATCAGTTTCCCTTGCTACAAAACAGGAAGTCGAACAGATCTAAGCACAGCTTTAGAGTGGTTTTTGTTTACTTTTTGTTTTGAGATAGGGTCCCACTATGCAGTTGACGCTGACCATTTTGTACACCAAGCTCCCCTCAAAATCAGAGGTCCTCCTGTCTCAGCCACCAGAGTGCTATGGTTAGGAGGTACACCCACATACCCTGTTAAAACTGACGTTTAAATGGCATTTCAAACTGTACAAAAATTAATCTAGTTCTTAAACCTACCAGTCCTGTAGTCTACCAGTCTGTGAACAGCAACTCCATCCTAGCTGCTCAAGTCAGTAACACTGAAGCCATCAATCATTAACACATCTTACATTCCAGTCTATAAATAAATTCTTAAATTTTACCTTCCAGAAGACATCCAAAATCCAGAAGACATCCAAAATATAACCACTTTTCACTACTTCCACTATTACTGCACATCTTTTTTTTCCTCTCTTGTAAATTAGCTCAGGCCCCTATGCTAACCAATCACTGTCATTGGCCTGCCTGCCTTCTCCTCCCCTTTCTTTCTTTCTGGAGGCAAGGGTCTTGCTTAGTGCTTAGTTGTCTCAACCATCTAGCCTCAAATTTGAGACCTTCCTGCCTCACCCTCCTAAATAACTGAGATTACAGGAGTATGCCAATAACACTCAGCAGATCTCAGAGAACATAAAAACAAACTCAGTTTCTCCAAAAATCTTACCCAATAATCAACACAGAAAACTTCCATCTATGATCACCTAGAAGTATGAGAAACCAATTCTGCAGGGGACATGAGTTGATTTTTTTTGGACACAGGGTCTTGCTATGGAGCAGTTCAGGCTGGCACTGAACTACATAGAGACCAGGATGGCCTCAAACTCATGGTGATCCTCTTGCCTCAGCCTCCTGAGTGCTGGGATTACAGCTGTGCACCACTAGGCCTGGGTGTATTATAATTGTACCTGGAGACAGCACCTGATCCCACAGGTTCTGGCTTTCTCAAGACTCTCCTCCACTTCCAACAGCAATGGCTGTGCTTTTGGACTAATTAGTCATAAATTCTGGACCTACTCAGGTTTGATGAATCCACTAGACTCAAGAGAACCTAGGGAAACATGTTTATAGTTTACTACAGAATAACAATGCACACCAGATGAAAAGCTTCTCCTTGGTGTGAAGTTTCCAAGCTCTTTGTGGGCAAATCATGCTGGGGACAAAGCTCCGGGACATTCATTCAGCAGGCCTGACTGGCATTCGATCAACTTATCAGGTCCCATCCCTTCCCAACACCCCCCCACACACACACACACAGTGTGGAGGTTGGGGCTACAAACACCACCACTAATTCACTAATTCCGCCCTGAATTTCCTGGCAAGCAGGCCCCTCCCCTCCCAACTGCCTAGGGGCTGCCAGTCAAAATAACCATTAGCATACAAAAGGCAGCACTTTGGAGATTCCAAGGGTTCAGTAACTTTTTTGTTTTTTTTTTTCTTTTCTTTCTTTTTTTTTTTTTTTTGTAACTTTGAGATTGGGTTTTAGAAAGGCTAAATTGCTCAGGCTGAACTCAAACTTGGACTCCTCCAGTCTTAGCCTCCCAGAGTGCTAAGATTACAGTCACATGCTCAGGTGTGACCATCTACTTTTAAAAATGCAAGTCCCAAATCTCAGTATTTCCTATCACCTTTCTTGCTTTTTCATCATCCTTACCAAACAATACACTACACATTTTGAATTACTATGTTAAAAAAAAAAAAGGAAAAAAAGTGCAAAGTAGGTTGAGGTTTTTTATCTCCCTCTTCATCAAAAAATGCCAGTGTTGGTGTAACAGATCATTTAAATTTCATACTCAGGTTTGTTTGCTTGCTATTGACCGGACCAACCAAGTATTTATCTTAGTACAAAGGAAAAAGGATTTATTCTCCAAATTCTCTGAGAATTTATTCTCTGAGGAGTTGGAGAAACTTATTTGCCTCAAAACGCCATCTTACACGTACAGATGTGTTACAGTCTTCATAGCACAAAATAGTCTGAAGAGAACAGAATGAAACCCTAGACTTGTCCAGGCTTGCTCCATTCCTTCCCCCAGGGAACACCGCCCCCTCTTGCCTAAGGGAGTGAAACTGACTTGACCTCCGTGCAAGCAGGCAGACTCCATCCACTTAAGAGTCTGGCAGATGGGTCAGAGTGGCTGTTTATGCTCTATGTGTGGAAGACAACTCCAGCGTCTCCCCTTGAATGCAAAACAAAGACTGCAACTTTGATTATTTGGAGACTTATTTCCTTATATTGATATATAGAGCTGGCTATGGTATTTCCTTCTCTCTTCAATTGGCTCTAAGCATTGCAAATAAGGCTAGCTGAAGTACTGGTATGTAATCTCTAAAGCCTACAGTCTCCTATTTCCTGCATAGTGCTCTCTGTAAAGATATGAGCACATCAGGATGTTAGAGCTAATAGCTCCAGGAAATGTCAACTGGGTAGGAGCCTCAAAGTAAAGAAGCTATGACTCTACAGGACACAAGAGTTTGCAGATCAGAAACCAAAGCAACAGCCTCCTAAAACAATTCTGTTCCTACCTTAATTGGATTATGCAAATTGACCCTTCTGCATATTTATCTCTGCATTTTGCAGAGATGCTTTTCTCCCTACCTGGCTAGCCAGCTTAAGTTACTCACATAATTCCTGCCATCTCACTGTCACTCATCCCTGAGCAATCCTCCTTCACAAGATAAATTCTGGGAGAGGCCTAGAAACAGGGCCTTTGTCCACGCATCCTCATGGGGACTGGACTCAGGACCCCTTGGCTGCCTTAACTGGGAATATATCTTAGTGTCTTTACTTTCGCTGTGGGTTGCATTGGAGATGGTAGATTGAAATTAACTTGCTGGGATTCCAACAAAGTCTCAATGGGACAGTAAATATAAATTTTTGGATTGTGAGGAAGACTACAAAAGGGATTATAATACTTGGATGACAGTACACAATATTTGGGATTATAATACAGGCCTGAGGATGTTAGGAGAAGTAAACTGTCCCTAAAGAAAAGAACAATCTATCCAAGTTTCCTTTTGCAGGGCCAGTTATATTAACATGCACAAGGCCCTGGGTTCATGCTACAGCACCACAGAAATACACATCTGTTTGTGTGTACATGTTATACATATATAATGTATATACTCCTAGCACCTAAAGCTGGCAACTTTAGGGCAACATGGCACAACAAAATGCTGGATAGTAGCATCAAAAGTAATAAGGGCAAATAGAAGTAAAAAGGATCAAGATGCATTATGTATGCCTTATCTCCAGGCTAAGCGCACACTATTTGCTATATATCACAAGCATATACTAACACAAAGGGGAGAGAAAACAGTGAAATATTATTAATGGTCTGGATGGTTTTCAAAAATGGCCCCTAATGAACCACATCATCTCACTGGCCTGCAACTTGAGTTCATCAGTGGGACACACTAAGTGACAGACAGTGCACCAATTCCAGTCCAGTAGCTTTATTTTTTTGGTGCCTTCATTTACTATTTTTAACTTTTTTTTTTCTTTTTTGGTATTGAGAATCAACTCAAGACCCTGTGCTTGCCACACAGGAACCTGTGCCACTGAGTTATATCCCCAGTCCGATTTATAACTTTCATATATATATACACATACATACATATATATATACACACACACATATATATATACATACATACACATATATATACATACACACACACACACACACACACACACATATATATATATATATATATATTTTTTTTTTTTTTTTTTTTTTGGTCTTTTTTCCTTTTTATTGGTACCAGGGATCGAACTCATGACCGCCTCCTCGCAAGGCAGGCACTTATGCCGCTGAGCTAAATCCCCAGCCCCTATATATATTTTTTAAAACAGGGTTTCACTATGTAGTTCAGGATAGTCTTCAACTAACTTATGTAACCCAGGTTGGTCTCAAACTCTAGGTAATTCTCCTGCCTCAGCCTCCTGAGTAGTAGCATTACAGGCATGAGCTTTGAGGCTTTC